GGGACCTCTACATCCTGCGCAGTGGAAAGTGCTTGAAGCAATCCTAAGTCCGAGGCAATTGTTTAAAGCAAACCTCAATCTTGGGCTGTTCACGGCCAAGCCTTCCTGCCACCTTTGTAGTGGGTCTCCATTCTTTGGGATGGACTGGGATTGGCCAACCTTGTTGGTCGGCTACCTTTTGGTTCCCTTTTCTAGGTCCTCCAGTGGAGAGGTGAGAATAAGGGTACCCTCCCAAACAAGGGTAAAAGGGCACTACTGAAGGACCTAGTTTTTGTTTGGCTGAAAGGGAAGCCGAAGGGAAGTTGCCAAGACGGGTTCCAATGCAGACCCCATCCGCATATCTCCCTTATCGATCGAGAGGCTCAGCAGGTCTCTCCTGGAGACCACCGCAGCAGTCCTCAAGACGTGTCAAGACCGGATCCCTGGACCCGTCCAGATTCCCAGGAGCAGAAGGATCCAACCCAACTAACCCAAAAAGCACACCTATGGCTACCCCCCATTTTTGAGGGGTCTGTAGCTCAAACCTGCGGATTTGTGAGTCTGCAACTGAAAACTTGCAGATTTACAAGGGGCAGATTTCTGCGCGCGCCTGTTCTTTTGGCAGGCGTTAAAAGGACGCCGCGTCCACCAGGAAAGCCAACACTGGAGGCGTGGGGAACCATACCAGGGCATTTTTACAATGTCAACGTAGCAACCCAACAATGATTTGATTTGTGTTTTCCGTAACATGATCTTCGCTAAAGGTATCAGGCAACCTGAAACCTGGGTGGCCCTTTTGCCACCTGCTTTGGGAGGAAATCTGCACTTTTAGAGGGAAACCCAAGCATTTTCCAGGACAACCTTGATCCAACATACAGCGTCCAACGCCAGTTTAGTAATCTGACTGTTGCCCGGAACAGCAAGGGATCGAGGTCTTCCATGCCTGCTTACCATCCCAAAGCCACTACGGGTCTAGGACGCGGTGCCATGGGATTTGGACTCACGTACAGCCCAAAGATGTCCCTGAACTAACGCAGCAACCCCCATTTATAAAACGCATTGGCAGCACTGGCAACCCAAAGGGCCTACTGGGTCCACTATGCGCCCCTTTTCGGGGCGGCTCCACCAATGGAGCGCCCCTTGACAACAATGCGTACAGTATGTTCATCACCAACAAGTGGACTGAACAAGAGTTGTGTGATCTAGGGTGGCCACAATTGCAATCGCAGAATTCCAGCAGCAGCTCACTTCTTCAACCATTGGGAATCGGGGGGCCAGATGCCCCTTGGCCTTGCCGGACGAGCAACATGCTCTCAGTAGGCCCTTCCACCCAAACCAGGGACCCTGCCAAATTCTTTCGCAAACTCCTTAAGAGTGCCCCCAGAAGGACAAATCGAATAAGCCAACAACATGTCGCCAGTCCCAAAATAAGTTTCATCGAAAAACACACAACACATCTTAAGCAAACGGCGTTGTGGGTGTCTTCAGGCTCATCCCTTGCCTTCAAGTCTTAGGCCGGCGCTGGGCGATGGTGACCAGCCACTTGCTCGAGGCCTACGTGGATCTTAGGGGGAAGCCAAGCACCCTCGCGCACGAGAGCAAAGGCTCTTGGAGGGGAGATATGGGCCAGGACCCATCGTGAATTGGGAATGGTTCGACACCGGGCAAACAGGAAGAGTCTGCTGAAATGATCCTTGATGAACCTTCACTTCTCCTTCTGGTGACAAGCATTGAGCAAATGACCTTCAGCTGACGGAAAGCAACAAAGGCACTTGTGGGACCAAACAAACACGGCCTTTGTTGCTAAACACGACCAAAACAGTAACAAAGCATGCGGACATCATGTGGCTTTTCTTGATTTTTCGGGCATAGCTCTGGCATGCCAGCTAATTCCGCGGAGCTGAGGCCCCGGGCGTCCAGTCTGCGGATGGCCTTCGGCACCTCCCCTTGGCTTCGACCCGCTGGGTGCAAAATGGTGGGTCAAATCGGGGTGATCGAAAAGGTGGGTCGCCTGGGAGGGTTAGATGCGGATGGTGATAACGTCTATGATTGATCTATGATCGTCAGCAAAATTGGATGGTGTGGCAAGATCATCAACAAACAACTGCCCATCCCCGTTTGGTCGCCTGTTGGGAAAGTACGACAAAAACACATGGTGCATGATCGGCCGACGATGCGATGGTCTGACGGCTGGCATTTCCGCCCAGCCCTTCTCAGGACAAACTTGCAGCGGCTTGGAATGAAGTTTCACTGCATGCGCCCCCACCCTCACTCGCCAATGCCTAGAGGAGAGTTGGATGGTTTTTGACAGGGGGGCTTCTGGAATGTTGCCGGGGTGCGAGGCGCCGCACGCATTGGTAAAGCAGCTGCGCACCGGGGCACGCCTCCGACTGCTGCCAACACGTGCGCTTAAACCGATGATGACAGTATCTCCAACTCATACGAGAAAGTGCAACAGTCAACCCTGCAGTCTGCGCCAATCTGATTTACGTGCACTTCAGGTTCTCACAAGTCGGCCAAGCTTTGTGCACAAGCTAGGTGTACCCCGGTGGTTGGACAAAGGCCAAGCCCACAGAACAAACGCGCCGGGAAGCAAATAATCAGCCACCACATTTTTGGCGCGACTGCCCAAAGCAACACTCGACTTCTGGCAATGGTTGCTCAAGTAAGTGCTTCTCAAAACCAAGGGCAACAAATGGTTGGTTCCGCTTTGTCTTTGCCTTGCAACTCGTAAAGAAGCGCTATCTCTCTCTCTCTATCCTGAGACCATATGGATCCTTCACACAATTAGTCAAAAGAACTCTTTGCGAAAGGAGCTTTGCAGCCGAAGGAAACCAAGCAGCCTCACAAGTTTCGCCAAAACAAACATGTCAATGTGACTTCCTTTTCCACAGCTTTGGTTGCTCTCTTACGGGGGGTAAAAATTATGCACACAAGTCAGTATATTAGATCCACGTGTCTCCTTGGATTCAGAGTCGGCCGAAAACATGGGAGGACTGTGCAAGCCTAGACAGCAACATGAGCCTCCCTGATCGTGAGTGTAGTCACTCCGCATGACATGTGGCATCCGGAACCAAACCATTGCATTTGAACCTCTTATCACCACTTTGTGCATTTCCGCCGGAGCAGAATTGAAGCATGTAAAAAGAGGAAGAGGTAAGGCCTGCGCCGCATCATGCGCGGGTTGAGATCATCCCCAATAAATCTGCACTTGGGGGTTGCAGTTTCCTGAAGCCTTACCGCGCACCTACACTCCTCGCGGACCCCAGAGCCAAACAACATGCAGTTGCCACACTTGCTCTGGCTCTCTCGAAACTGAAAGGAAACCAAACATTTGAAGTCCAATTTCTTGTCAAGACACACTCACTTGGCAACATACTAGCTGGTCCCAAGTTGGGCCAGTCGTTGCCTTCCAAGGTTCTTACCCCCCAAAAAAAATATATAAAAAAATAATACAAGTGGCTTCCCTTTGGAGTCCCTTTAGCCAGCCCCGCAAAGGGCGCGCCAAACAATGACGCACATGACACGCCTGGCAAGAGTGTGAATCTGAGCCTCCCGCGTGCGACCGCCAACCCACAGGCCATGGCACACCCGAAACGCCAAAACCCTCAAACCTCCTTGGCAAAGCTGGCCCTATGCGTCGCGAGAGTGACCCGGGAAGCAACGAATCCCTTTTTGGTTCCATCATGGTAGGGTTCAAAAAAAATAGGGTCAACAGGGAGTGGAATCTGAAGAAACTGGATGTGTGACGGCCAAACCCAGGGCCCAGCCCAAATGCGAATGGCTGAGGGCTCGGTCAACCGTTTTCCCAAACACAGTGCGTCATCACATGGATTGCAGTTGATGGTGCTTCCAAGCTTTTGCTGAGCTCCGGCTGCTTCAGCACACGCATTCTGTTTGCTCCTGCCTGAAACTCGCTGCAGCAACGCTGCAAATGCAACAATGGTCGCAGATTGCTGAATGGATCCAGGTGGAGCATAGCGGCAGTTTGTGTCACCCAGTCAACTTGCCCGACGCTATCAAGGCGAGAAACAAGCTGTCATTCTCAATGTGGGCGGTGCTCAACAGGCATGAAGGTTTTGTTCTAGTAACACGCCTCGACAGCTTTGTGTAGATCCCCAAGTGTTCACTTAGGATGAACAATCTGCAAGATTCAACCTCCTCCGGATGAATCCGAAGTTGATATGTACGATGGTACGCTGGTGTGCAACCACATGACCTATTCACCAACTGCTCCTGATCCCATGTGTCACAGCGCCGAATCTCAATCAGAGTGCAGTCAGCGCCGGCATTTCTTCGACGCTCGTGTCTGTCAGCCGGGAGTGGTAATTAGGCAAGGACAGCATTGTTTGTGTCAAGGTGGTGGACCGTCACGGCCCAAGGTGTGAGCTGCTGTTAAAAGAGGTCAATTTGACCAAATGGGGCATCACATATCGCATCTGGCCAAGTGCACAGGCCTTCCTTTTGGGGACTCAGATTGCAAGCAACAGCTTGTACTTGAATGCGTATGCCATTTACATGCACCATGGCCAAAACCGGACCTATCATGCTCACGGGTCCGGTCCCTTCAATTTTCGTCTGAACAAGTGTATCAAAGCACGGATGGCCACACAAACAAGCCTCACGGAAACGGGTGGTGGTTTGACCATGGCGCACGTTGATCACTGCATTGCATGTGCCAACACATAGCCGCCGCTACCAGACGGTGTCATGTTTGTGGGACCCCGTCACGGGGGCTGGGGGTTTGTGTGGTCATGTTTTCCCGCAAATGCTTTTCCCACAACTGACTTCGTCTACGCAGGCGACTGCAACGATCTGTGAGGCCCGTTGACAGCCTTCAGCAAGCTCACAGCTCTCTTGGAAAATAGCTGTCGAGTAATTTATTAGGCTCACAGGATCCCACTTGGATTGAAACGTGGCCAGTCAAATTGGTCCGCTGCTTGACTGCAAGAACTTGGTAATTCTCCTCTCCCTCGGGCAATCCCCAGCTTGTTTGTTTCTTTGTTTGCATCAAATAAAACTCAATCCATCTTGCCGGATTCTGTGAGTCGCGAATTCACTCCAATCAGGCTCTCGTCTCGATTCGTGATGGACACTTCATGCCGACCTTCACTCCGCAAATCGATCTCACGATATCTCTGACTCTGCCTCACGGTCTGGCCGTTGCCTCACGGTCTGGCCGTTGCAGACCTGCGAGTCGCGAGGCGCTTTCGCGCCGAAAGCCAGCCTATGGGAAAACACGCATGCTCCCAGGTACCAGCAAATGGCCATGGGCCATGGGTGTAAATCCAAATCGTACGAAATAGACTAAAAAGGGTAGTGCACCTACCCCAAAATGGTACCATTGGTTTTGACCCACAGCCAAATCAAACCAGGGGCAGTAATCATGGGCGAATCACAATCATTCACACACCTGAAATACGAAATCCCCGAAATTATGTGTCCCCTGGCGAGGCGAGTGACACATCCAAAGGGTTTCCTACTTGTCCGGTTTAGTCGTCACCGGGAAACTCAGTTGAAATCGGTAACCAAAAGGCTACATTCCAAAGCAAAGGGAGGAAACTCGCCTTTTGCTTTTGGCCCAGACAAGTACTGCCCAAACCGCCCAAACCGCCTTTGGGCAAAATACAGTCTAACATTCTCCAAGGAAAGCGTGCCAGGGATGCACTGGCCGGAACTCGGTGCGACGCGATCCCAGCTTCCTGGCAGGGCAGCAGCGGTGGGTGCAGGGGCCGAAGAACTTCAAAGGGCATCCCTGAAGAACCCCAGGCAACCTGTCCCCCTTTTTTTCGAGCATCAAAGGCCACTGGGTGTAAGTCTACCTTCAGTAAAAATAGAAAAAAACATCTGGGATGGAGTCTGAGGCGCAGGCTCTTTCTTGTTGCTCTTGGAGCCGGCCGCCTGTCGTCGAAACTCATCAAAAAATGACACTAAAGCGCAACGAACGCCCAAAAAATCATGTACAAAGGCGGCTCGCTCCGGGCATTTCGAGCGAAGGGACCAATGCCCGGCTTCCCAGCTGCAACCAGCGACAGGGAGAAAAAGAGAACCATGTCCTTTTAAGGCTGAGAAACGAGTGACAAACCCACCGAACAAAAAAGGGGGGGGGGCCAGGTCACATGTAGAAATATGTAGAAGCCTGGTCACAGATTTCGTAACGCGGGTTCAGTCCGGAATGATAAAATAATAATAATCCGAGATCCAACACATCCCGTCTCCTGCTGTGTGTCCGTTCGTGGCTCACCCTTTCTCCATCGAGGCTTGCTTTAAGGCTTTCTCTGGCAGTGGAGCTTCCCGGTGGCAGAGAGAAACAAACATCTTTTCTTGCTGACCAAGATCACCTGGCTGTGGGTCAAATAGGTACCAACATGGAGCCCTGGTAAATGGAAGCATGGACTAAAACCTGCGGTCCCCTGGTGGTGTAAATTTGACCCATACTCACCTGATCAGGTGGGCACAACCCATCGTGTCAAGCCTCGAACTTGCCTAAAACGGAATCGTGGAATAGCCATGTCTCGTGCTTCAGCCTGGCACGAGACCTCGTGGCAAACCAACTATCGAGGCATCTCTGAGCCACTTAAAATAGCAAGTGAGACCGGTCATGCAAACGCCAATAGGACAACCTTTCTCCTCAAAAAAATCACCTGGGTGCACCCGTCTTTTCAACCAACTTCCTATTGTACCACCACTAACATAACACTCACCTTAAGTTTGCCCAACAAGTCACATTTCAAAGCCACTAGAAGAGGGAACATATCGGTGTTACTTCTACTTAGGGACCATGTAGCGAACACATGACTGCAGATTTTCGTCCACGAACCCCTTTTGAAGGCTTCGAACCATTACTCCCACGCACATGAACATCGATCCCCCAAAATGGGGCCTTCCAAGCTAAATGTGGCGCTTTTTTGTGTCCATTTGAGTCCCGGTCAAAATTACTTGTTTGCTCACGAGGACGTGGGAAAATAGTGACACTGAGTTCTCTCACATCCCTCCCAAATGAACCATAGACAAATCAGGTAAGTTTGACCACTTATTTTTCTGTTGAGGGGCGTCCGAACATAAAAAGGCATCGGGCTATGTGTAAAAAACGCAACCCAAACGAAGAGCCTTCTTTCCTCTGGGCTTGCTTCGAAACCAACCTAAAAAGGGTTCCAGAAACACACACACACATACATATATTGCCATGAGGCTTTGTTAAGACTCTGATCTGATTCCCCGCGAGGCGCGAGGCCCGGGCCAGCTGGTTGGCATCGCCGTTGCGCCTGGCTATCAATATTGGAAGTACGTGGATATTGGTCTATCATCAAAACTGATGGCTCCTATCCTTGGAAACTATTAGGAGATGTGGGTGTGTGAGAAAACACCAAGTCGAGCGCAAATTATAACTTTGAGAATCTCCTTTCGTCGTCCCAGCTTTTTTGATGCGAAAACGGGGAAAATATGGGAAACACTGACTGTGATCCAACGTGGATGCAAAAGATGGCTATATCAAAATGCTCACGCGCGAAGGCTGATGCCCCTCATCAGGTTGGACTATGAAACTGCCCTTAGTAGAATTGCAAGCGACCATGTCTGACCTTGAACCACAACCAAAGCCGGCAATAAATGAACAAACCGCGCCCAAGGCCCAACACCAAGGAGTCACGAGGACCTCGACAGAAGCGGCTGCTTAGGACAACTGGAAGACCAAACGCCGCGAGAGGCGCCGGTCACCCAGTCGCCCGGTCGCCCGCCCCTCAATCCCCTCGCCTCTCGAAAGTGTTTGTGGGCCTCTTGGCCTGGCGAGGGCAACCGAAAGTTTCTTCAGCGTCAACCGAAAGGCAAAAGGACTTATGCCTCGGTTTGGCCGGATCAAAAGCTCAACAGCTCACCAGTTAGCAGGAGAAGCTTTCCCTTTGACAGCCCCCATACAAAACATGCAGTCCAACGCCAGCGACCAGCCAAATGATAAGTCGCGAAGCGCTTGGACACGTCTGTACCATGCCACGGTCCCAGGTTGTTGCGAAAGCTTCCCCTTGGTCTACCTCTGCAACGGCTTGCAGTTTCACGCAACATATTCAGTCTTCTATCATAAGTCGGGTCTGGGGAACTTCTTGGTCAGCAGTATCAGAGTGGCACTTCTTTGATGTGGGTGAAACACCATGATTCTTTGCTGAGGTGAGTTCACCCTTTAGCAAGCTAGTCTCCATCATATCGGAGGAAACAATCGAGTGCTTGATGAGCTTGCGTTTGACCCGCTTGCCAGCTTCGATTCCATCAAGCAAGAAGGACACTCCAGTGAGGCCAGGAACCGTCCAAAGGAAAACATATACTTTTACGTCATGATTCTGTTCTATCAAGTGATAGTCTTGTGAAAAAACATTGAACACCATAAACCCGTATGTAGAATTACCAGAGGGTTGTTTTTTCAAAAGGAAAACCAACATGTTTTTTCAACCAGAAAACCAACATGAAAACCACCTGTTGGGGGGGTCGAAACAACACACACAAAGCGTCTTAACAGGGCAACCGTTGTGGTTCTGAAGCTCGCTCCATCACTCTGAGGTCCCAGGCGGAGTGAATCTTCCCGGCCTGGGCAAGAGGTCCAAACCACCCTTTTGGTTAATGCTGTCTCTGTCTGTGCTTGCCTGTTTCTGTCTCTGTTCTGCGTCTGTCTGAGCAGGGTCCCAGGTTCCGGATAGACCAGTTCCTCCCAAAGCTTCAGAGCCGAAGCGCTGAACGAAATTGCTGAGGGTCCTGCCAAATCACCCTGGCGTTGATTGAAAGGCATGAATGGCCCAGGCGTTGGACGCAGGATTTGGTGACAAGGCTCAACCTGCCATTGCTGACTCGAGAGGCTGAACACCTTAACCTTTGGGTTGGGGGTGAGTCCGGTCACACTTGCATCGCGAGGCCAAAAGAAGAGGATTCCTCACGTTAATCACAAACATCTGCACCCAACCCCCCCTCCCCCAAACCCCCAACCCAAAAACCCCCGCAAACCCCCCAACCCCCAAAACCCACACGCAACACCCTCCTCCAAGAAAAAAGAAAAGGCTGAGTTCCTCCAAATTTTAGAAGAAAAGAAGAAAGACCTTCTATTGGCACCATAGTCGCCGTGCCTCTCTGGAGCAAGGGCTTCCTTGTCAGGGCGCGCGCAGTAGCACGTTATAGCTGCCCATAAATGCCCTCCAGCGCTGTGGGAATGCCCGGCACGTCGCTAAGGTTCATGCACCAGTTCTTAGCGCGAAGAGGCGTAGGATCCGCTCTTTGTGAGCCTCGTGGTTGCGACGCAGCAGCGGAAGAACTCGTTGCAGATGAACAGCTTGACAACATCCTCAACGACACCTTGGTCGCAGTGGCCACGACGCAACGCAAATACTTCAGCCCCTGCTGGTCAGGCTGCCATGAGATTCGCCAAGATGAAGCTTTCCTGCTCCGCGGAAAAGGTCGCCTTTCCACCCACAAGCTTCAATGGTTGCGAAAGTCCTCCATTTCCTCGGCCGTGTCTGGCGAGGCCCTTCAACTTCAAACACATGGGAAATTTGCCGTGGAGAGCGTGCGTTCTTCGTTACCAAGCTACGCACGCCACCGCTGCGCAGTTGGACAGCCTGCTGGCGGGCAAGTGGCCAACTGGTCGGTTCGCCCCAGAAGCGGCTGCAGTGGCCCTCGCCACCCGCGCCGCACACCTTAACTCTCAACCATATTTTTTGGAACCTCGCGCGCGCCTACAGCCTGACCCCGGAGCTTCTCTTCGCCTGCAGGCACCGCCTTGGCGCTGCCACACACTTTGTCGTGTATGTCGGTCTACGACCCCCTTTACGGGAGCTTCGCTGGACAGGTTGCCCAGGGCACCTGAAACCACCAAGATGTACCCCCGACGGAACCGCGAAGCTTTATCTATCCATAGCCCCGAACGGCCATCGAAAGCTGCGCGACGTTCCATCCATCCTCGCGCCAGTGCGACTAGATGGACCCAAGAAAACCTGAAACCCCGCACCGCGATCTTGCAGCGGCGGCATGGCCGCTTGGTACACGGGATCTCCAGGTCCAAGATCGCCCCCGTGGCAGTAGCGCACCACGATGGCAACGGTGCACAGATACGCGCACACCTCATGACTCGGGCCGTAGTCAGCCTTCCGTTTTGTGGCGCTTCGAGCGCATTGCCTGAGCTGTTCGGTGTTTGCGCGAACATCAGCGCTGAGCTGTTGACTCGGCGGCCCTTAACGAGGGATCACACAAACGGGGGCTGGGTTGGCGCTCGGCAAGGACGCCGGCCTGAGTTGGAACGCTGTCATGTTGAAGGCCGTCGAAAAGAGCCCAGTGGATGCCTGAGTTGTCAATGCGGCCGCCCAAGAGTAGCCAACGGTTGTCGTCGACAAAGATGGAGGTAACTGAGCTGGTAGTAGCTTCTCCCTGAATGGTGTGAACGCCGTCGAGGATGAATGGATGTTGAGGTTACGCGGCTGTGCGTTGCGTTGTAAAAAGCGACAACTTGCGAGGAGATAGTCCAATGGTGGTGCCCCAAGGGCCCTGGCATCGGTCGCAGCGGTGCCCGGCGTCGAAGAGGTAGTAGTGACAGCCAGCGGCCTCCATACGCGATAGTCGGCTCCAATGAGGTTGTACTGCTCGTCGAAGACGAAATTGTTTTCGCAACAGTGAAGCGCCCCGAAAAGAAAGTCTGCGGGTTTGGGCCACGATTGTAAGGTTTCTTCGTTGTGGTGGATGGTGATGAGGATGTGCTGTTGTGGGGGGTTTCGCCGCATTCGCTTGACAATGGCGCCAAGCATGTTGGACTCCTTCTCGGAGACGACCTGTGTCCCAGAATTGGTCGAGGAGTCGGTTGACGAGGTTGATGGTACGGTTGCCGGGATGCGCAGCTTGATGCTGGGCCAGGATCTCACTTTGGTAGTTCTGAAGAATGTCGGCCGGGGTGAGTCGCACTTTCTGAGCGGTTGCCTTCATGAAGTTGCACCAAAGGTTTGCATAGATCCAGACCATTTGCATGGGCGATTGAATGGGTCCGAGGAGACAGGTCTTTCTTCAAGTCGCCGGAGTGGATCACCGAGGAGGGAACTCCAAGAAGTTTCCCTACTTCACGAGGGTGGAGAAAGCGGGCCTTGCCTGTGCAGGGCAACAATCTTCTGAAACCGCGCTCCCGAAGAGAGTGCACTGAAGCCCAATATTGCCTGCAACCGCACGGGCATCCAGAGAGCGCATTTGCGTATGAATGGAGGAAGGCGTTGGCCTAGTCCGATCTGTCTGCAATCGTTGCCATACGTCGGATTGGAGTAGGTGCTGAGTGAGCTGCTCCTCCTCCTCGATTGGCCAGGTGCCCCAATTCTGCATGACGTCCTGAATGATCTGGTGAGTTGGGCTAGGCGTCCAGGGCAGGATGCTATCAACCGCCCAGCGTTTTGGCCGTTGGTTAGGCTATTGATCTGCGAGGTCCACATTCACTGTGTGCACCTGCTGACTCGCCCTTTGAACTGCACCATTGCGACCAGCGTTGGGCGCACAATCAAGGGTCGCGGACTGGCACTGGGTGAAATAGATGATACGAAGTCCGGCATAAACACCGCGGAGTGCCCCTGGCAGATCTTGTGAATAAGCTCCGACGCCTTTGAGTCTGTGACTGGACTTCTGAGATTGCGCTGGAGACGCTCGACCGAGGCGAGGTTGTGGTCAACACTGAGAATGGGAGTAGGACCCATGAAGGCGGCACCTATACCCATGCCACCGAAGCCTGCGCAGAGTTCCAGGGCCCATGGTGTAAGCGTGGTCGGTGACGAGGCACGCGGGGTCCATCAGCTGTCCGATCCAAACCTGAGGGTGAGCAGCGCGCTGCGATCTGCTGCAGATTATTAAGCCGTGATGACCCCCAGCTAGAGTGTACCTCCACGGATGACGAGGTCCTGTCCGTTGTGCAACTGCCGAGCGGCGTAAGGGGCCGTGCCGATGCAGCTGACAACCTCCACCACGACGGAGACGATGGGTCCCAAAAAGTCAGCTGTCATGGCGGATTCGAACGAGGTCCCGAGCTTCCGCTGTCGCAGCTCCACCGAGCTGGCAGGTCTCGGGCCGAGAGCTCAAATCAAAGTTAAAAACGACCCCCCCCCCACCCACCAAAGAAAAGGAAAAAGAAACAGAAAAACCGAAAAACCCTTTTCCCAACACCCCTCCCCTCCAATACCTGCCCCTCACCGCCCCCCCACCGCCAACAAACGCCCAGTCCGTCCGTCTCCCCTGCGCCTGGCGACGGCGGCGCCCGGCACCCTTGCCCTGAGAGCGCAGAGCGCCAGAATCCGACGACGAACCGCCGAGGGCCCTCTGTGCGCGTCCAAGCTTTGAGGCTACCCGCGTGGGGGGGGGGGGTAAGACGCTACCCGCCGTTTTGTGTATTTGTCTCTTGCTGGGGGTTAAGAGGCTACCCCTCTTTGTCTTTTGTCTGTATGTTTGAGGAAGTTAAGAGAGAAGCCAAAAGGGGAAACTTCACTCAATTGTTGAGAGCTAGTGTATTTTTAGTCAAACAACCTGCGGTGCATGGACAAAGTCCACGCCAAGCACCAGTTGGGATTGTTTCAAAGGGAAACTGAAGGGGAACTGAAGTATTTATTCCATACAATTCAACAGAATCTCGTATCGGTATTCTTACGCCAAACAAACAAAAGGAAATGGAATAGGGAAGTAGAGGCTCTCTTGGATACTTGCATCTAGGCGGCAACCAAGTCAGCCTTCTTTTCGATTAAAACCACATTGATATGGGAGCCTGCCAGCTGCACCAAACCGATTCGATCTGCCTCTTCCTCATCTCCCTGCTCTGCCGCCTCTGGAGCAAATGTATACCTGAGCATCGCATTCAAGCTGGCACTATTGTACCTCCTGGAAAGTCGGTAGGAAGTTAGCCAAATGCCCACCAACTACCAGCTTCCTGAGACTTGTTTTGTCTTGGGGTCAGGGGATGCCAGGATACACCATCCAAATGCCCCATTTGCGCCCGACACCCGCCCTGCAGCTTGCATGCTTCGGGGAACAACTCTGGGAGAAAGCTGGTTTCTGCTTCAACCTGGTGGTGGATTCACTGTTGGAAGGATAATGTGTAGCACGTGCTCACATCTGAAGACATGCAAGTGCGCTTCAAATCCCCAGCTACTTGTCAAATGAAGGACCCGTCCGCCACGCAATCTGCAGAATATCCTCTCTATTCGCAAAGGAATCCCGTTTGTACATAACCTGCATCGATCAGATCGCAATTCCACTATGTGAGCTCGTCACAAGTTGTCCAGACTCGATGAGTGAACTCTTGGTTTCTCTCTCGGGCTTCAAGGGTGGAAAACCGGCAGCGCGGGCAACAAATGAAGAATACCGGCAGAACATATAACTGTGTGTGTGTGTCAGGATAGGGGGGGGATGGTTTTCCCTTGGGTTTCCCTTTCTACAAGGCTATCCCAAAAAGGGTACCCTCAAATCATACACACACAAAACAAACAAAATAGTATGCCCTTGTTTATGGAATCTGGGCTTGGATTGCTCCAGACGTCTCTCGCCAAGGTACTCCTGGCTCACGGTGGATGTTGCCACGGATGCGCTATCCGCAGCTGGTGTGGCATCGTCTCCGGCCTCCTCTGCCTCTGACAAGCGCACATGCCAATCTCCGAATCTGCAAATCATAGTCATGCTCCCCTTAATACGAACCTTTACATTGGTTGTCTAAAAAAGAACCCACTAGAAGGTTGATGACCTGCCATACCAACCCCAAGTAAAAGCGTGCTGCTTGCTTTCACTCAGTTGCTACGCCGTGCGTACATGCATACGAAGTCATACCTACGTAACATGAAGGACCATGGCATGGCACATCATAGCATGGCACAGCTAACAGGCAACACTATACATTTCCATTGCGTTACATTACGTTAGATCGAATCGTATCACATTGCCATTGCCCGGCCTCCGCTGCCAATCGCTCCTCCTCTGCCAAACGTGCTTCCTCTGCCAGGCGCGCCTCGTCTGCCAAACGTGCCTCCTCCTCCAGGCGCGCCTCCTCCTCCAGGCGTGCCTCCTCCTCCAGGCGTGCCTCCTCCTCGAGGCGAGCCTCCTCTGCCAGGCGTGCCTCCTCCTCGAGGCGTGCCTCCTCTGCCAGGCGTGCCTCCTCCTCGAGGCGTGCCTCCTCTGCCAGGCGTGCCTCCTCTGCCAAGCGGCGTTCCTCCTGGCGTTGCAACAAACTAGCCGGTAAGCAAAGGACAGCTTGTTGACTCCTTGAAATGGTTCAAACCTTGAACCCCAGTTGCCAACTCCCATCCAAGACAACATTCGAGGCAAACCTCAGCTTGGCTTATCTCTGACCTCAACCCATTCAGCCGTCCTCCTCACGGAGGTGCATGTCCTGAGCGAAATCGCCAAGAGAAATCCGCGAGACATACCCCGAGTGAAATGGCCCAAAACAGTCATAACTGATGTGCGGGCTACGTAGTGCGACCCGGTGTTAGTGCCCTTGTGGCACTCAGGACGGATGGAGGGCAAAGGTGGGGAATGCAGGCGAAACCGCCCAAATATTCTTGAGTGACTGGGTCACGACTCGCACGGCATGGGGTAATACAAGCTAGGTTCAACATTCTTGGAGAGAGCTGTCAGTACAGGAAAAGCTCTCATTGCTTTATTCACGGATGACATTGTGGGAAGCGGGCCCTCACCAAGACACTCTCTTTGCGTGTTGGGTCTTTTCGGGACGCAGCGCAAGCATGGCTGCGGCTGCTTCCCTGCCACTAGCCTCCATCACCGCGTCGAGATCCAGGTCTTCATCAACTGGCACCATGCAAACTCCGGAAAGCTGGTGTTGAGTGCCAGAACTTGTAATTTGCCTACCACCACACACGCCTGCCCTCACCATCAAAAATCCCCCTACCTTCAGGGGGATATATTTTCGAGTTTTCGTGGAACTCCAGGGGTCACTCAATCCCCCGATTCCATTTTTCAGGGGCACGTGTGTGCAGAATGTAGTCTTCCCTGTTGCGTCCCGCCAACACTTCCAGATCAAGGGGACCAAACCTCAAAGCAGGACACGCCCACACCAAAGAAAACATCAGGAAAATCCAATCCCAACTTCTTGAAGGTTCCTGTGGTCAATTTGGGGATCCTGTCTTGGGACCTCAGGCAGCACAAATGAAAGGGTGCAAAAAGGGGGACGAGTTTGTTTTGTTCAACCCTTAGGCAGCTTTTAACTATTTTCTTTGAGCAACAGGTTGCAGTTTGAGTTGGAAAGACTCTAGTGGAAACCAAGAGGTCTGAAGCATCTTCTTCGGAGGTCTTGGACCCTTGGGAGAGCCCAATGTTTCCTCCATCCACCCAAGTGCGCCTGGCTGCGACCTCACAGGCAGGACAACAATCTGAGTCTATTTTTTCTGCTAAAATGTTTGAAGGACCTTGTACCTCCTTGCATAAAAAAGAACGCATACTGGGGGGGGCACTTGGGTATGAAGTCTTGTTGAAAAACATCTGGTATTTGGTGGAGATCCCTTAGCTGGGCTGTCATCAGGTCAACCGCTAAAGGTTTAGCTTTTCGTTTGCGAAATGGAAAACCTCCACTAAACACTCAAACGATAGAAAGCTAAGGGGATGGCTGGGAGCCACCAAGTTACATGAGATTTACGTCCAAAAAAAACATTTGTTCAGGGTTCCAACCATTCAACTAGCCACAATCTTCTGCGCCTTACACCCCAGTACATCGTTTGGGGCACTGCAATATCGGCAAGGCTGACAGCCATCCTTCCTTTCTGGGGCCGCCGCTCGTCTGGCACCACCTGAGAGAATTGGCAGATGCTCAACGTGGCGAAGATCCTCTTTCAGACCCTCTGCGCGAACAAGATCCAGGTGGTGCATCTTTGGGGATCCAGAATGGTCATGAAGATTTCTTCTGGGACACACAAAAACAAGCAGGACATGCTCACGTGCTCCTGAGGAGTACTCTTTCTCTTAATAGGGTGGCAAATTGATGAATCCCAACTAAAAGGGGACACCCCCATTTTTGATCAACCAAAGGAGTCAACCATATTAGATAGTCTCCACAATTCAGGTCAGCACCCACGCGGCCACCACGGTGATATCGTCCTGCTTCCTGGAGAGATGCGTGAGCTGATGCGAGAATGTTGACTCTTGGCCCAAAGTCCCAACAGCCTCTACTTCGCCTCCATATCACTGGCTCCAAACTTCAGGGTACACTGGTCTTGGCTGGATCCCAGCAAAAAACAAACACATATTTTTGTTTGCCTAGTTAGTAGAAGAGAAAGGGGGCCCCCAAAAAAGCAATAAATAAAAGGTGAACTAATTCTCGGGAAGTGGACACCGTCTTGGATTGGCATAAAAGGGGGGTTGCCTGGCGATCTTCATGTTTCGCCATATTTGCATCCTCACAACAACAAAAAAGAAGCCACCATGCCCTGGCCCATTAACCTTGAGGATTTTGAGATTCATTTTTTTGGGGGTGGTCCCGGTCGTGTCCTACTCCGCCGTGTGAACACCGAACTGAGGGTCATTTTTTAGGACGACCAATTGCCCCAATTTCTGGAAACAAAAATGGGGGGACCCCCAAGCAAGGTTTACCTCCATTTGCTTAAGCCCCTGGACAAAATAAACATATTTCCAGTAGTTATAGATTCCTTTGAAACCAAATGGGGAAAAAAACACATACTCTTAAGCAAATGGAAGTTTATGTTCGGTTTCCCTTGAGCACCCCCCAAAGGGCACGCCTGGCCGAAGCTCTCAGCTGGGGCCCCAGCCCGCCGATGCAGTCGAAGCCGTGGCGCTTGGAGTACTCCACGAATGGCACCTGGCAGCCGTGGACGACATCCAGGTCGCACCTGAGAAACCCTTCGAATGATATGGTGCATTTCCGTTGAAATACCAACAAATGGTGTCAACCATGGTTTCCAGAATGATGGGAAATTCCGTTGAAATACCAACAAACAATGGTGTCAACCAAGGTTTCAATAATGTTATGAATGTCCGTTTAAATACCAACAAACAATGTTGTCAACCATGGTTTCAAGAATGTTATGAATTTCCGTATAAATACCAACAAACAATGGTGTCAACCATGGTTTCAAGAATGATATGAATTTCCGTTTAAATACCAACAAACAATGGTGTCAACCATGGTTTCAAGAATGACATGAATTTCCGTATAAATACCAACAAACAATGGTGTCAACCATGGTTTCAAGAATGATATGAATTTCCGTTCAACAAACAATGGTGTCAACCATGGTTTCAAGAATGATATGAATTTCCGTTTAAATACCAACAAACAATGGTGTCAACCATGGTTTCAAGAATGATGTGAATTTCCGATTAAATACCAACAAACAATGCTGTTAACCATGGTTTCAAGACTGTTATGAATTTCCGTATAAATACCAACAAACAACGGTAACAACCATGGTTTCAAGAATGATGTGAATTTCCGATTGAATACCAACAAACAATGGTGTCACCCATGGCATCAAGAATGATATGAATTTCCGTTTAAATACCAACAAACAATGGTGTCAACCATGGTTTGAATAATGATATGATTTTCCTTTCAAATACCAACAAAAACTTGTTTCAACCATGGTTTCAAAGTGGTGCAGGAGTTCGTCCATCCACAATGTGTTTTGTGTTGCTCCTTATTCATTCTGCGTTGTTTTCTTTCTGTCCTCGTTTTCTTGGGGAGGAATTGACATGCATGGCCGGCGCGGCGCTGGCACGCATTTTCCTCAGCGACAGCCAGGTCTGTCAGACAGGTGAGAAGAGGGGCACCGCGTGCCACTCACCGTAGTAGCACAAGGCACGATGGTCCATGGAGGGCCCTGATGCACGCAGAGGCAGTGACTGCCAAGTGCAGCATGGCCAGGCGGCCCAAGAAGTGCCTGCGTAAGAGCTAGATTGGGCGGGATGGGCGGGCAGCCAAACGCTGCGTGTGCTGGCTTGATCATGCATGCAAGGACATGCATGGCCGGCGCGGCGCTGGCACGCATTTTCCTCAGCGACAGCCAGGTCTGTCAGACAGGTGAGAAGAGGGGCACCGCGTGCCACTCACCGTAGTAGCACAAGGCACGATGGTCCATGGAGGGCCCTGATGCACGCAGAGGCAGTGACTGCCAAGTGCAGCATGGCCAGGCGGCCCAAGAAGTGCCTGCGTAAGAGCTACCACAAATGCCTGAAGCCGCAGCAGCTTGGAAAGGTGGCGCGCTTCCGTCCTGGAGCGGCGGAAGGTCACTCTATGGCCGACAACGGCGCTGCAGGCTGAGAGGCTGAGGCGTGCGCTAACAATATGGGCAGGAGTCTTGCTGCACCTATGACACGGGAACGGGATGGCTGGGATAGCTTCAGGAGAGAATTCTCGGCTGCAACCTCTTGGAGGTGATGCTCTAAAGTCTGGAGGTGTCGCAGTCTCATGGACCACAGCAGGTCAACGAGAGGCATGCCCGAGTGGTAGGCATGCACAGCTCCACCACCACGTAACCCGCCTGGGGTGAGGGAAGCGCTCTTAGGGATAAGCAGGGCTTCAAGTATAGCATCCCACCTTCGCCTGTAGGTGGCCGCCGAAGCGGGGTACAACAAAGAGGTTGGCTCTAAGTCCGAAAAAGCCAGCTCACACAACTGTACACAAACACCTGAGGTTATTTTGGAATGCTGAATGAGGCCCCCCCCACGGTGCCGAGTCTTCGCCTTTTCAATCCTGAAGAAAAGGATCGGCTTGTCGAAAGAGAGCAAGTCCGTGGGCAACAGCAGGTCCTGCCTTCGGCCGGCCAATGGCTCACCGGGTCTCATAAGGCCAAAGAAAGCAAGGGCCGTCAAGGCGGCCCATCGTACCCAGCCCCACCCAAGGGCAGTGCTGAGCATTGCATCCAGGACAGGCTTAGCCAACGGGGTGCGGTGGCGCACCGGATTGACTCGCTCCCAACGGGTAAGCAAATCCCAAGCTAAAGGCAAATATGGGCGAAGGTGCAATGCATTCTTTTGGTAAAAAGCGAGCAAATGGCGGTACAAGTACGCGGGCTTATTAACACAGAACAAGTGATTACCGTATGCTCTCAAGATATGGCAAAGAAGCACGGGGCACAACCGGGCGGCTTGCACACAAGGGGCACTAAGCTCTGCTGCAAGCCAATCCTCAAAAGCACTCACAACGCGGCTTTGTAGTCTGGCTGTGGCGGGGGGTACTAGCTGTACATCCTCCAACCCTCCCTGAGTAGACAAAGGGGGTCCGGGGTTTTTAGCCTCGCCTATATGGTTAGCCTCCGACCCAGAACAGGCCACACTGGCTGCGGCATTGCTTGCGCCGCTGGATTGCACTAGGCTGAGATGGACCCCCCGGGCTAGTGATTTGCACAACCCGGCGGGGTAGGCCTCGGCAAGCTTGGTCCAAGCACAGCGCCTAGCTTTGCAGTACCCTTTAAGGTGGATGTGGGGACCCTTACACTGGCACAGGGTACGAGTGTCCCTAAGGGCACAGCTTGTAAGGAACCGGGTCCGCTTCCGCCAAGGGGTCGAGAACCTACACTGGTCCACCGTGAACCAACCAACGCTGGCGGAACAAGCCAGCTGCTGAAACTCGTGCAAATCCCACATGAAGCTGAGCCAGGGATTCTCAACCCAGAAAATAATACCCAGGTGCAAGGCTTGTGTCATGAATGCGGCGACCCACACTGCCAGCTGATTGCCAAGCTTTACCTTGGCTTGCATGTTACTGCTCACGCCGCTGAAACCGTAAGGGGAGGCCCGGGATCTAACCGCAGGCCTCACTGCGCGTGAAAAACTTGCACACACGGGAGCAGCGGAGACGGAAAGGAAGAGACCGCTCTGCAAAAGCCGCTGCAGGAAAAGCTGCACTCTAGGGTCACTAAGGTCCTCCTTTGGTGAATGCTTCAAGTCAAAGCACAGCACCCAGCACTGCGATGTGTCGGCAAGTGCGGTAGCGCCCCCCCTCCAACCCGAAAACAAATCCAAGTGCCCCTGACGGTGAAACACATCGGCACGACTCCGGCCCCTCGGGAACACAAACTGGTCGGCCGGAATGGTTTCGACGAGATTGCGGGCGTCCGGAGTTAGAAGGCAGCTGTATTTATGTTCGGGTAGGGGCTGCTTTACAGGGCTCGGGCCGGCGCAGCGCCGCTTTGTGCTGAGGCTGAACTCCTGGCGTCGAGCGTTCCTGCGACTTTCAGAGGGCAGTGCCGGAACGTCCTTCCCAGCAAACAGGGGGACCTTAGCAAGTGAGGGGGGGTCCAGACGCTGCTCCCTGAGAAAATGGTCGAGCTCCTCAAAGTCCCCGCTTAGAGCCAATTGGAACCACTTTGGGGGCAAAGGCTTAGGGGGTCGCACACTCCGGCCCCGCGTCGGGTCGTCAGCTGGATTCAGGGCAGTGGGTAGATAGTTAAAAAATGAGTACACATTACCACCAAGAAGAGCAGGCAAGTGTCGGCGCATCTCACGATTGATGCAGGCCGATGCCGAGCGGCCCTTGATGACGGCACCTAACACCACTTGCGAATCTGACCCAACAAGGAGCCGAGTGTTTGGCGACTCCCTGCTCCGCCGCTCCTCTGCAAGAAGGACTCCCTTTAGCTCGCTTACATTTATGTGGGCCCCTGGTCTGGTCCTAACACAAGTTTGCTCTTGAAAGGGACAATGCTCTGCTACGGCACTCCAAAGTGGATGGCTACGGTACACAACTCCATCAGGTAGCTCTTCGCTGGGAAGGAGCAGGCCTTTTGACCGCTCCCAAGCGCGGGCTGGGGAGAGCAGCCTTGTCCACGCAGGGCGCCGCAATGCATGCCGGGGCATCTCCCTGGCAAGCTCAATGCCAATGGTGGACGACACAACTGCAATGGCTTGGTCCGAGGCATCAACGGCTACAAACTCCGGGAGGCTACTGGCCCTCAAGTCACTACAAGCTAAAGGGGCAAGCACTACCCAAGTCCACAACTCGTCCACCATGCTCGGAGTCAAGGCGAAAGGCACACCGTACCTGTGGGAATGGATGCAGCTAAACACTTCATCAAGCAAGGCCATGAGTCGCCGCCTGAATTGGAAAACGGCCGTCCAAGACCCACCCAGGATCTCCATCAACTCCCTATTAGCCCAACCGATCGATGCAACTCGGGCCGTGACCGATACGAGGGGCAGCACACGACTAAGCTGAGCACGGATAAGGCCACTGCTGCCACAAAGCGACGCTCCCCAGAAAGAGCCTTTTAGCTCGTCCCTGAAAGCTTTCTTTGCGTTGCGACTGAGGCCCACAGCGGAATAAATCTCGGTCATAACGTCTGCAAGGATGGCTGCACGGCTGGGCTGGGGCAGAGGGGAGAACGGGCTCGGCTGCCGAAGGGTTAATTCAAACAGAACCAAATCATCTATAACGATGCCGACTGCACGCTCCCCCCTCGGCCAAACCCCGTGCATAGTGACCAGACTACCCCGAGTGGCTAGGCCATGAGCAATTGCTAGCTTAGCGCGGGCTTCCTGTCCAAACTCTACTGAATTTAGATCCCCCATCGCCATCGTTGCTAAACAGGGGACCACTGCGGTTGCACCTTCAAGCGACTTATCCCAACAACGGAACTTCCTGGCCTCGGCTAAGGAAAGGGTAATGGCTAGGGAGTTCCGACATTTGCGTTGGGCACCGATCCTATAAAAATAGTAATAATCGGTCAAGTCTTCGCCTGAGACCCGGATGTCACGATCGGCCGGCAGTTCAAGGTACAACAGTGGGTAGAAGGAGCCTAGGGTGTTTGTCCAGGTATTGAGACCGGGCTCAAGGGAATTTGGACCACGGGCGTCCAAAATCAGGCGGTCCCTCTCCAAGCTCTTAGTAACTGCAAACAGACCTGAACGGTGGGACATCCTGGCTTCACGTGCGTCCACCAATGACAGGCGGTCGGAGGAATCAAGGAGATGCAACAGACGCAAGGCTTCGGGCCTATCACAATGCACACGGGTCCGCACGAGAGGCTCTGTTGACAACTCGGGCTTTACTGCAAAGTCAAGTGGGCGCTGGTACATCTCCAAAGACGGACCTCCAAGGTATGGTGACGGGTCAAAACTGGGCCGCCCAGAGAAGGCAAGGTGGTCTGTGCGAATGGGCTTTGCAACCTGGGCGGCTGGTGCTTGACCGACCAAGGGCCTCACTTTAGGGGCGCTTTGGGGTTCGGCACTGACTCCATGGCGAGCGTATGTGCCGGCAAGTCGTGTGCCGCATGCTGCTCGGTGCAAGGCTTCCACGCTGAATTCAACGGTTTCAAACTTTGAGGCCGATCGCCCCATGTCCTGGGCGGTCACTGCTGGGGCATCACGCCAATCGCCCAGGAGCCGCCGGAGCCGATGGACTAAGCCCCACTGTTTAGGGCTCAGCCTCCGGTGCCACACGAAGTCGGGCGGGGGTGAACGGGGCTGTCCAAAGTGAAGCCAATTCAACACAACGATTATTATGCTGATGCAGAGCTTCACAAGGTCGGGGCTACCCTCCCACAAGTGTGAACTTCGGCCCAACAAGTAAGGCAGCGGCATGGGCCACAGAGCTCCTGGGGTCCCGCACTCTGCGCGCGGGGCAGACACTGGCTGAGTGGCACTGAGGAAAAAGCGCCTGAGGTTAACTGAGGCACTGTGCAAAATATGTCTAATTCAAGAGGCCCACAGGGCTCGGGCATGCACTGTGCTGGCTGACGAGCCCGGGACTGTATTTGGCAAAAACGGTTCACCCGAGCCTGGCGTCCTCGGCTGGTCAGTGCATGCTCTTCTCACGGGGCGGCTGGCTCGGGGGCCAATGGCTGGCTCCCTGGGCCCTTGCCCTTCCCCTTTGGCTTGGGAGGGCGTGTGTCTCCCCGAGGCTTGATCTGTTCGGGGTTGGGCTGCTCTCCATGAGGCTTGGCACGCTGGGAGAGTTTCTTCCTCTTGTCGAGGAAGTCCTCGATCTCCTTCAGCTTCCACAACAACAGGTCCAGCCACACAGGCTCTGCGGTGTCTCGGACCCCTCCGGGAGACGGTGATGATTGAACGCCGAGAAAGGAGGACTCTCCTCGAGCGAGAGCTCGCCTGCGAGAACCCACGAGCCTCGATCCACAGCTAGCTGGTCCCCCTGAGCAACCAACAACGCACACCTGGCTCGGGCTTGGGCATACTCCTCGTTCATGAGACAATCCCAAACCCCCGCTATTCCCCAAATGAAGCGTATGTTGGTCTGATAGGGCTGCACTTTGGAGCGGAGCTCCAGCCACGCCCTGGCGGACACAGGCACTGCACTCGAGCCCGGCAACTGACGGGCCAGATTGAAATCGGCCCGGAGGTTTGCCTCGATGCGCTCGTAGATGTAGGCAGGCTGAGATGACAGGGCAGCCCTGAGTTGCTGCAAGGCCACGGCATTCCGCCGCCCGGCAGATCCAGAGGCGCCCTCCCCGTGGCTGCTGTTGCTCCCGGCGCCCTCGAGGATGGCTTGCAAGCCTCTCTCCTGCTTTCTGTTCGATGCAAGAGCGTCCGCAATCTCGGTCAACTTGCTCAGAGCCTTTGCAACCGGGTCCACGCCCTTGGCGGGCTCCGGCTCCTCCTCCTCGCTTGCACTTGCTGACAGAGGGTCGGCACGGGCGGCTAGGCCCGGAGGCGGCCTCTTTGCCGCTGGGGCTGGGATGTCGCCCAGCTTCCCAGGTCGCTTTTGGATGAGTGCGCTCATCTCTGCCAGATGCTCGCGGCTGATGCCAGCAGCAATGGCTGCGTTGACGACTGCAGGATCTAATCCGGGCAGAGGCAACCCAGACACGGCGGCAGCGGGTCCTGATGGCGGAGGACCCTGCGGCTTCTTGAGTGCTGGCTGGCGGGCTGGCGCGGGTGTGGCAGCGGGCTTGCATGGCTCACTGGTCTCTCGTGAAAGTAGTCGCTCAAGGCTAGCTTGGATATTACCCAGGGTACCCTCAAGTCGTTCTACTCGCTGGTCAAGGCCAGATGCAGGCACCTCAGCACCGGCACTGTCGGCGCTGAGGAACAGGTCAGGGTAAAGCTCTTCGGCGAACCTGACTAGGTCTCCAGCAAATGGGAGGACCTCGGCAGCTCCCTCTTGCTCTGCAAACGAGAAGTCGACGGCGACCTCACTTCCGGGAGCAGGGAAACTAACCAAACCTTCGGCTTCGTGGCTGAGGAGTCCGACCCAAACACGCAGTGACAGGTCGGGCAACGGCTGGTCACGATTCTCTGGCGAGGCGCCCCGAACTGTGGCCACGGACGGTCGGCTGAACAATTGCAGGGGCACTACACGCCGGGCAATGGTCCTGTGCCAGGCACGATGCGGGATGGCAACAAGCACGTCCGGACCAACCAGGCAGATGGCAGCGGCGGCCACAGTGGTAGTGGCCTCACTCTCAACGATACTGAGGACACCAAAAGGGTAAAAGTTATCTACCCCACTATCCCCTATTATCAGATTATTACGGGGCCCGTCAAGGGCTTCGGTCACCGGCGTGGCAGGCTCAGGCTCGGTCATGGCCACTCAAGGCCGGCAGCAGTGACGGCAGCACGGGCCTCCCACTCGGAGGGGAAACCGGTGAACACCGAATCCCCGAACTCTCCGCGCTTGCCGACCCACGGGACCAGCTGGGCAAAGCTCTGGAACACTTTAACGGGCGAATGCTTATGGCCGTTGATGTCTCGCACACACACGTAGATCACACTGGGCAGGGGGATCGAGTCGCGACCCGATGGGCCCCTGGCTCTGCCCTTCAGGCAGCGAACCCAGAACAACCCAATGGACCTTGCTGCGGCCAATCGCCGCTCCGTGCTCACAGGGGCGTGGGATGATGCAGCACTGGTACTACGGGGGCTTTCGGCAGCTTCCTCGGCGGGCAGCACGAGCTCAAACTCAGAGGCCAGCTCTAAAGCAGTCACTCGGTCGGCAAGGCTTGCTACCTCGTCCTGGAGCCCGGCAAGCCGCTGACGGATTTCAACCAGCTCACGAGCGGCCGAGCTCCGGCTCATGCAGACGGCCGGTTCCGCACAAGTACAGCAGGGCTCCACTGGTTGGCCCGGTTCCTGATCACAGCAAACAAGTAATGCTTGATGATGAGGATGAGGTCCAGTACCTGAGCGAGCGCCAACCAACCCGAGGAGGATCCCTGCGCAAAGGGACGGCACGTCGAAGGCAGGCCCCCAATGAAGCGGTGCCCCTGAGCAGTGTCCCAGGTCCCCGATCGCAGCCGGCTCAAGGCCCCAGAAAAGCGCTTGCAGGATGGCGCCACCTACGCCACCACCCGCTACGCCCGCTCCTAGGGGGCGAAGCATGCACTTCTCCAGCCAAACGCTGCGTGTGCTGGCTTGATCATGCATGCAAGGACATGATATTGCAAGACCAAGCACAACATGCATTTTATGACACGTATCAAGAAGTTTAAGTGTTTAGCACAGCTTGTGATGGTCGATAATTGGAAGGGTGATTCCCGAGATACTCCCCTACAAAGCGTGGAACTCGCAAAAACAGATCCATTTGTAAAGAACACTCCGTTTGGGCACTCTCTGGCAAGCCATACGGGGGCTGTCTCAACATTGCGGACCCCACCCTCCAATTTCACATGGGTGTCTCCCGCCTGTACCACCTCTGCACAAAGGAGCGTGTTGGCAATCTGTGTTGCTAAACTGCTTTGCGCTGTTGCGCCGCTGTGCTGCTCGCTGCCCAAGACCGGTTGTTTTGAAAAGGCTGCCCTAGAAAAAAACCAGCTTCACAAACTGGGGGCGTACACCCGATCTCCGGCGTTCGGGACTGCCTTCGCGTTCGGGTCCACGGAGCGCTCCTGTGCTGCCAACGCCAAGCTCTTGGCGACCTGCTCTGGCGGCCTCGGATTTCGGCAAGGGGTGGACTGGGGATTGAACGATAATTACTGCTGCAAGGAATGGCTTCAACCGCTGAAACCTCCTTTCGGGTTCTGTGTTGGAGCCAGGAAGTTGGTTGTTGAAAGATGTCGCCCTGGTTGAACCCCACAAAACTGGGAGATTAAACCCCAGAAATAGTTGGCTCCCTTTAAAACAATCCCGAAAAGAGTGGCCAAACTTTGAACTCAGGCAAAGGAGAGGCTGAACGGGTTGGGCTACCTGCGTCTCCCCTTACCTTTGGAGAATCCGTCGGGAAAAACTAGTGGTGAGCCAACTGTAAAATGGTTGACGACTAGTGCGGTCAGAGACCTACATCAACAGCTTCCTGGACAGTTCCGGAAGGTGAACTCAACGACGGCGTTCTCTTGTGGCACATAGCTCCGAGGGGGACTGCACATACCCCTTGCTCATGCCCAGCTGCGTACCCTTTTGGGGATAAGAACAGCCTGCCTGCTTGAGCATCGCCCGCAAAGGGCAGGGGGTCATGGTGCTTCATGTAACCGGAACCAGCCCACTGAACAAAACCAACACACGTCTTGGGCTTCGTTTCGGGTGCACCAAAAAAGGAATGAGAACAGCCTGAAAATCGCTGAGTGCAAGCCTTTTGCCTTGTCGGATCTGAAATGGCGCTTTTTTCTCTCCAAGTGAATTGGCGTCCCCCCAATGTTGGCTCCGGGTACATGAACACGTGCGGCTGTACCGGGGGTGTTTCTGCCCCAATTGAAGGAACCAGGTTTGTTTGCCCAGCGTGTCATCTTTAATGGCACCAACTTTGGGGTCGTCTGGAAAGAGAAAGGATTGGTTTCCTTTTGCTTTGCACCAGCCGAAGGGGGATACTCTGAACAAACAGGCCCGAATAGGACAAATACCCACCAGCGTGCTGACGTCCATCAAGACTAAGGTCTTGGCGTGCAACGGTCAAGGAGGCCCACCAAGTCCTCAAACGCCGTCCGAGGAAACGACCGGAACGCGGTGCAGGCTGCTGGGTTGGGAAAGTGATGCAAGTGAGGGAAACCAAGGGAAAACCCGAGGACAAACTGAGGGAAAAACCAAAGAGATGCCCCCTGCAAACAGTGAAAGATGCGTTTTTCTGGATGCTCGAACTGGCCAAAAGTGCTGCACTTGCAGCTTGTAGGGAAGCAATAGCGGTTTAAAAACTAAGGCGAAGGTCGCAAAAGAACAAGGCGTGGCTCACTTGCCCCAGGTGCCTTGGTCAACCCTTGGGGTGGGGATCCCGCCCCTTTCGGATGCTCGGTTGGGAACCATCGCCATTCGGTCAGTCATGCACAAACTCAGAAGTTCGATTTGGGCGACTTGGTGGGCTACGTATCTCGCCCCACATTCTGGCGATACACAGAACACCTCACGAAGGTTTCCACAAGGGCGACCCCCCCCAGCCGTTTTGACAACCCAAAAAACGATCCACTCTTTGGGCCCTGGTAATTTGAATTCTGGACTTGGTCGTCAATCCCCGCCCGGTGGAAACTAGCTCATTTGACACTGGCACATGTCTCAACGCGGTCCCCCAAACAATGAAATGGTCATGCTGACACCAACCGTAGGCTCCCCAACGAATCACGCCATCCATGTCAGGCAAATTGGGAAACTGGGTCGTCCCCTCATGCCCTCTCGAACTGAAACATGGACTAGCTGTTCAGCGACAACTTTGTCAGCTTCTCATAAGACATATACGCTATGAGTTGCCACGAGCACCTGCGATTTCCTCTCTCTCCCTGGTTCAAGCTGGTCTCCCTCCCAAAGTCAACGTGATGCCAAACTCGTGGCGGCCGAACCAAGCGGGCGAGCCGTTTTGGTCGACGCCTGCCACGGCTTTTGGGTCCCCGGCAGCGGCCGCAGGGGACAAGGCGCGGTTCACAAGGCTGATGATCTGGCCAGCTATGCTGTGCTATGAGGGTGCTATACGGTGGAAACGAGCCCTTTTTCTGTCTACCCCGTTTGGGCCCTGGGTACCCGTGCGACAAAACAGCGCTGGGCATTCGAGCCTCGCGGTCATGAAGGTTGTCACGCAGGCCGTCACTGAACATGAGGACCAAATCGCCCTCCGCCGGGCAGCGTACGAAATCCGGAATTCCGGGACACGAGTACTAGGGCATGTGGAAACTGGGAACCAGGGCTTGTGGAAAACGGGCATGTGGACACATTATGTTACAAGGGCTTGGTCCACTTTTTGCAAAAGGGACTTCAACTTTGCAAAGTCCACCCAAAATGAGTCATGTTCAATCGGCTTCCCTTTGAGACATCCCCCAACACAAGGGGAGAGTCATCGCCAGCAAACTAACGGGATTTGTAAATAATACGAAACGTGAAAAGAAAACGGCAAAAAATCGCAAGGCAATCAAGAGTTTGAGCAAGGACATCAAGAACGCATAGAAGAAAAGCCAGGCGGACCGGACCGGACGGACCGGACAGGAAAATCGCATTCATGGCTTGGCTGCTGGCGGCATGTCTTGAAGAGCTATGCAGGTCTGCTTTGTGTGTGTGTGTGTGCGCGTATGCTCCATTGAATTGTTGCACGTGTTCTGTTGGTTTTGTGCGGGACTTGCCGGATGCTCCGGTTGTTTTCCCCGTGGCCGGTGTATTTCGTCGAAGTCTCCAACACCGGCACCCCCACTTTCAGCCAAAATTGGGGTCCAGGAAGGGTGAGTATTAGATGTTGGCCCCTCAAATAAAACTGAACCCCAAAAAACCAGTGTCCTTTATGAACTCCAATCAGCGATTCACTCCCGTCGCTCTCCGCGCAACCGCACCTCGCGGACCTGCACGGTATACCGGTCGCCTGGGACGTTGGGGATCTGCCAAGTTGCCGGTGGACAAGGCCAGATCTTGGAACATGGGGAGCTGTCATGGAACCAAATCAAAAGGGACATGAATCCCCACCTCAATGATGGCAACCAAAGGGCCTTTATCAAATTTACACCCCCAATCTACGTGTTGTCCGAAACTGGGAAAGAACCCTTCTGGGTCGTTGAAGGACGTCTCTTTCTTCGAAATGAAGGACTCTCCAGTCGGCAACGTTATTCTTCACCATGACCCTTTTCTTCACCTTGCAGCCCTTTCTTTCTCACCTGGCAAACGTTTTTTTCTCGCCCGACAACCTTTCTTTTTTCAGCTAGTAAAGAAGGTAGCAATCTTGAAAAACAAGTGGCGCAAGATTGGATAAGTAGACTCAGCTGCAAGCTGAACAAAAAAGCCATGGCGCAAAAAGGGCGCAAGGTACAAACAAACAAAGCAGGCGCCTCTTTGTTAAGAGCGGAGCCCCATGGAGCCTTGCCGTCTCTGAGCAGCGGGCAGTCTGCCGCTTTGTCCAGCTGCAGCTTGGGGAAGCGGTTGATCAGAGTCTGAAGCACAGGCCGCCAGACCCAAAGCACCCCGTTGCGCGCATATCTGTTGACCTGGTGGTTACGTGGAGGGGGCTGGGAAAATCGCCCATTTACCCAAGCGCCCTATTGGCTTCCTTCTGGACACACCAAACAGCATGGGGGGCGTTTTGCCAATTTTGGAACCCAGGTTAGTTCTGGGTGCATTTTTGCCAAGGGTGCCGGTTTTCCGTGGTCACTTGTTCAGAACAGTTGGACCTTTGCTAAAGGGCACCCTTACCGTCTGCAGAAACAATACTTTTTTGGATGTTTCAGGAAACACCACTTGGGAGGGTCCAGTTGACCCATGGCCACATCACCTATGGCTGTCCTTGGATCACTGAGGCCCCTGCCCTGGGGAGACGGGTCAGCTGATACGGGCAATTCCTCGGCAGGCCAACAACTCTCTCGAAGGCGGAGCCCTTGGAAGACAAATCCATCCCCTGCTGGAAAGAGCGCAACCAGGCCCACAGGCACTAAGCCATACTTGGAGTGTAGCCTGAATGGATCAGGGATAAATCCATTTGGGAGTCCTACAAGGTGGCATCCCTCCACGAATGGTTGGTTTCCTTTTAGTTGTCCTTGAAAACCGTCCAGCCAAGGGTACCAGGCCTCCAGAAAGACACGCCCTATTGATGCCAGGCTGAGGCTGCTGCCAGCTGTGCTGCTGCTCTTCCGACTTCATCACAATCTAAGCAGTCAGTTCGCTCAGTGGCTCTTGGTCTTCCGTGTCAACCAAGCTGCAAATCACCGTGCTTCTTGGTATGTCACCATCGACTGATTGTTGGCGCTACCAACATTCAAATATGTCTAAATCACCATATATTTCTTCTGCTCATCTGTCAGGCACAATGCTCTCAGCAATGTTGGCGTTCCTCACCCAGCGCTAAGTCCGCCACGTACATGCCGCTGGGACCCTTACGCAGGACCATGAATCCTTGGGCATCAAACGTCTCGCGCACAACAGCAAAGTTGTCAATCCTGGAGAGAGTCAATCGTGGAGAGAATCCAGCTGGGTGTGTGTTTTGTTTGCCCCCCCGAAATATGTACATATATAAATAAATAATGGTGGCTTTCCTGTTGGTTTCCGTTTTAAACCAACCAAGAAAGGTTACCCTCAAAATACGCACCCAGCCGGTGTTGATACACCTCGACATCCTCCAGAGTGGAAAGTACTGCGCTGTGCTTCTGCTCTCGGCTGAAAGCATGCAAACAGGTTCTGTCTCTTTGCCGAGGGTACCTTTCTTCGGACCAAAGGAAGCCGCCCATCTTGGAAAATTCCGCCACAAGTCACGTGCTAAGGGAAACAATGGCGGCTTGTCTGAAGCTTGATCAGCCTCGGCCCAAAGCCAACATGGCGACACTGGTAAGCCCAGCTGCGAGGACCCACTTAGGGGTTATCAAAGGTAGCCTAGGATTGGTTTAGGTTGCTTTGGGATGGGGCTAGAATGGAATAGGGTTGCCGTGGGGCTGCTTGAAGGCTGGCTGCAAGCTGGGTTTGGATTGATTGAGGATACGCGACCTGTTGCTCGTGGGGGCCAGTTGCCTTTGTTGCATCAGGGTTGACAAGGGGTTTGTTTGTAGAAGAAGCTGCATAGTTGTCTCACAACAAGCAGAGCTGCTGCCCTTTGAGCAGCACTCCGGAGAAAAAGAAAAATCAAAGAAAAAAAGAGCAGCAAACAAGCAACCCAGAACTGCGAGGGAAATGCCCACCTCGGCCGTCACTCGAATTCGAGCCCACGGCCGGAATCCCCGAGGTTGGCCACGCCAACGAGGTTTCCTCGCGAGGGATTTTGGGGTGAGAGAGCAGCCGGATGGGGTGGTCTCCAATGATAACCCCCCCAAAATTGGGTGGTTTCCCAATGGCTTCCTTTCAAACCAACCACAAATTGCTGGCCTCCAAAACGACGCAAACGTTGATTTTGACCCCCGCCTGATCAAATAAACAGCTTCATGAGAGAGACAGTCGGCTTTGAACCCCGCTTTAGGGCCATCAGGCAAGTCCCTCTACACAAACCTGCACATGTAGGAGGCCCCTCTACTCAAAAAGGGTAAAGCACCAATCCGTGCAGCCAGCGACCAGTACAAAACATCTCTGTCCTCGACCCGTTTGTGTTTGGAAACTGTGCGCCAAAAAATTGAGAGGGTATCCGTTTTTGGGGAGGTTTGAGAGGCAAACTACCGTCGTCTTGGAATTGCCTTCACACACACACAAAAAAAAACACAAAATTTCGCCAAATCGTGTATCCCTTGTAAGCCCCTTTGATTGGAATAATTGTTGAGCCTTTCAAAAGGAAACAAACCATTTCCTGCTTGCGAAAAAGCCAACTCCCCGCAGCGCGGCAAGCCTTGCTGGCAAAGAACCGAGACCGTGGAGGCGCCATAGGTCTCAGCGATTCGGGCTGGCAATGTTCCAGAACAATTCTCCTGTGGAGACTCTAAAACATCCATTGTGGTCACAGTCTTGCCCAGTTCAAGTGTTTCCTGGTCTCAGTGTTCTTTTCAGTGTTGTTCAAACAGACTTTCTGTCTGTTGCTCCGGTGCTCTGTTGCATCTCCAGTGTTCAAGTAGCTTGTGGTGCATGTCTCCAGAAAACATGTGTTTTGTCTCGACATTCCTGTGTCCCAGTGTTAGTGTTGATACGTGCGCCCGGTTTCCTGCTACAATCGTAGCTGGAAGCACCAGCAGTGCTTAAACCGACTCGTTGGGGTGTCCCCTCACTTTTGAGGGGGCCAGGTTCTGATGGTTCACACGCACTTTGTCTCACTCTGATACGCACCTTCCGCAACACAATGTCCCACATGCATACTCTGGGGGACATATCCAGTGATCCTTCTTTTAAGAAAACCATCAGAAGCCCAGGGGAAACAGCTGGTTTTTGACAAGAACGATGGTTGAAAAAGAATGGGGAATCAACCGCTAGAGTAATTAATTCCAAGGTTTCTTCGGTGGTGCGACATGGATGTCGTCCAAAACGGCCGCCAGGTGCCATTCGTGGAGTACTCCAAGCGCCCACCACCGGCTTCACTGAGGTCTCGGCTGCCGCCTGGGACTCGCCGTGCGCCATGGCGCGAGCAGCGCGCTCGGCCACGTCATCTGGGCACGGCAATGGATTCACGGGCATCTTGCTTGCCTGTGTAAAGACATGTGAGTCACAATCAAAACCTGGTATTAAAATGGTTGACCCAGAACCATGTAAGGAAATACGAAGGTGGCCGCAACTATTTATGGCTGGGATTGTCCCTTACTAACCGTCATGTACCCGGGTTTTGATTGTGGCTCATGTGTGTACGTGTTTGCTTTTGGGGACCCACAACATTGTGGGTGTCCTTTCAACATCACAAACATTGGCAATCCTCAAAAAGGCAACCCCATGTCAGACCACTGTTCTCTAAAAGGTCCTCGTTCAGATCTCCCCTTTACACCCTGAGTGTCAAACAGTTTGCCCCGCCCTTTCTGGCCCGCTGGCCGGCAAATCATGGCAGGCGCACTGGGGATACAGTCGATCGAGGCCACGCCCTCTTGCCTCGGATTCTGAGGCTGCAAGGCAGCTGAGTTCCTAAAACTCGCGCCAGTGAGATGCCTCCACGTTCAAATGAGGCTTGCTAAACCCTGACCATGGAAACTCACCCTCACTGAGGCCCCCGGCTGGAGTGCCTTGCAGCTGAACTCCATCCTCAGAGCGCAGGACCAGTCATTTGGTCCACCCAGTCCCCCAACACGGGGATGAGGGTGTTTCAAACGCATCCTTCATACACGGCCGCCCCAAGGTCCCCCACAACTCCGCGGCGTAGCGGGCCGCGTTGATGCCGTAGCTGGCGAACTGCACCTGCAATGAGTCTCCAGCTTCGACATCCCAGGGGCCTTAAAACCTGCTGCTGGTTTCGAGTACCCACCCTGCAGAAGTGGAGTACGGCCCGTGAAGAACGAGGGATTGAAGCCAGACCATGGAGCCTTCCCGGTCCCGAATCCCGAATCCCGAAAATGTGGTTTAAATCCCAGGTCGCGAACATGTGAATTAATCCCAAAAATGTGATTAAATGCCGAATCCCGAATCCCGAAGATGTGATTGAATCCTGAAAATGTGATATTACCCCGAATCCCGAATCCCGAAAATGATATTTAATCCCGAAAATGTGATAATAAGAAAAAGGAATCCCGAAACTGTCTGGATCACCGCTCCATTCCGATGTCTTTCTGAGGGTACGAGTGCGTACCATTTGGGTGGAAAAAGACAACCCATCAGAAAACCCACATCCCTTCTGGGAGCTCACAAGGACCCCTGACCCCCCCCCCACCCCCCGCTTGGACAACAACAAGGGACGCAGAACGGTCTGGGCGGCGTGCCATGCAGCCCACGCCATCCGCAACTCCAATGGCATGCGGGTCCAGAAAGAAGGCATCCTCGCCTCGGCACCGTAAAGGAGGCGGGAGGCAAAAGCTCCGGAGCTTTCCCCAAGAGCACATGGGAAAATGAGGGAGTCCCCCATTGACTTGCTTGTCGGGGCTTCCCCACACTTGGGATCTCGAAAGAACGAGTGAAACTAGTTGTGTGGAGCAACCGATCGAATGTATGTCAAGCACAACCTCGATTCCGTGCCTTTGAGCCGAACATGTCCTGCCTCCAATAGGAGTCCTCCCTGATATTTATCTGTCTGCTTGAAGGGGGCTTTGGCGGTTCACAGTTCACTTTGGATTCTCACCGGAGAACCTCGAGTTTCTGTCGCAAAAACATGGCGGCGACCAAATCTCCCTTTCCCAGAAGGACATGGCGAAAAGTTTACCATATTGCCAATCGCTCATATGGGTGTCTCAAGATGAGCCGGCTGGCATCACGCTTGTGGGCATTTTGTTCCATCATTTGTTTGTGGACTGTCGAAATGGGCTTTGCTTTCTCTTTTTGTATCCCTTTGAAGCCACCCCAGAAAGGGCTTTTCGGCGCAAAGCCAAACCCGTATTTTCTTTTCCAGAATCATGAAAGCGGACCCTGGGGCTCACTGGCGGCCTGGGGCCCGTGCATGCGCCGTGGGCCTTCTTCAACAAATGGGCTCCGGCCTCGGCTCGAGCGTCGAACGTCGAATCGTCCGACAAGGACATGCGGCCCCGGTTTCACAAGCAGCTGATCTGCAAAAAAAAGGACCCCACCCTACGCCACCACCCGGAACAACCACACCCCAACAGAAGTGCAGAACTTTCGCTGGAACGGGGGTCGCTCCATTCAACAAGGGAACACGGATCGGTCTAATTGACCCGGAAAGGAAACCCATGGAAAAGCCGTGCCAACTGTTGAATTTCGAAAGGATCGGCCGGGAATCCCGGACCAAGATCGGACCGATTGGCGGGCCGAAGGCTTGGACTTGTGATTCCAAGGCTGTGGGCAACCACTGTGGCAATCTCATTGATTTCCCCACATTGCAGAATCGTGCCCACGGCTTCCCTGGCACATTCCCCACCCCCTGAGGCCCCCAAGCCCACAAGCGAAGGGCCATTCCACCTGCACATGAACTAGAGCGTCCAGAAAATCTGGGGGCTCGAGCTGGGTTACAAAAAAACATGCCCAAACTCGCCAATCCCAATTCCGTGCTTTCGAACGTTCGCCAACAAACACAAAAGCAAGAACAACTGCCTGCAGACCCTGCAAGGAGTTTAGACCAAGCAAATTCCCAAGGAAGGCATCATGAATCGCCCAGGATGTCTGTGGACTGTGGCGCCGCTTCGGCGGCCTACGTCGTTCCTTCCGATGGGCGGCTGCGGCTTCTCGGGCAGGATCTGGGATGAAAGGCGAGGTCTGTGAACCGAATCTTCCTTCGACCCTGCAAACTAAGGGCTTTTTGTGTTGCACGCGATGACACCCCAGGGAAATCGGTCCAAACGTGGTGGCATTCCCAAGACTACGGCTTGATTTCGGGGGCCATGGTCATGTCAGTTTTTAAGGGTGTGATACCAGGGTTCAATACAAAATCACCCTGGTGTCCAAGGGTGTGATACCAGGGTGTGATACCAGGGTGTGATACCAGGGTGTGCATGTTTGTTCCCAAGGGTGTGATACCAGGGTACCAAGGGTGATTGGTTGAACCAAAAAAGAACAGAGAGCCTCCACATATGGAAGACCTCCTTGGAGGGCTCTCCAGGTTTCGAGAAAAGCGATCTCAAAAGGCAAAAGCCGTCCCCCATTCTTCGACCAGCAACTTGAGGGGATTTGGGTACAGCTGATTCTGAAGTGTAAAGGGAAACATTATGTGTTCTACTTTTTGGTCCACGACCGGGTCAGATGGCAGGCCAGATCCAGGGACACATTCTGTGTCAAAACAGGGGAGTTCCTAAACTGGTTGGCTTTATGTTTGTGTCCTTTTGAAGCAAGCCAACAAACAAAGGGGTGTTCCCAAGTGGACCCACACGAGCCATCCAAACTCCTTGCGTTGCTGGCATGGTTCCCTTTAAGAAACCCCTGGAATAGCTGTCTAAATCTCCTAGGGTGTTGATGACCATCCCTACCAGCCCCATCCAGCCCCTCGCTAAAGGGTGAGAAGACCATGGCGTGTGTCCTTGCAGTGATCCACCGGATCATCGACCCGTTGATTGCTTGAGGCCCGGGCGATGCCGTCCAGCCGAAGCATCAGCTCGCGGTCGAAAAGACCTGCGAGGTTGAAGCGACAAACCCCCAGTGGCTGGCTTTGATAACAAAGCACCAATCAAAATCACCCCAGCTTTGAAACAAATGAGGAATGAGGCAGCGTGGCACGTTCCATTAACACGTTCAACGAGTCAAGGCAAACATGGCCCAGAGCTGCCTCGATCCAATTTTTGCCCTGAGCCAGACCAGCTGCGCAGAACTGCGGAACAATACTAGCAAATGCAGCAACAGGGTCAGAGGGTCAAAGGGATAAACCAACAAGCTAAGATCGTAACAAGACGTCAGGGCAAAAGGCAAAACACTGCAAACGGGCGCGGCTACAGAAACTGGGAATTGGAGCCACTCGTGGCGGGGACCAAAACACAGTCTTTCTGCTTTGACAGCCACAATTGTAAGCAGTGCCTAAAACCCATTGACGTTGGCTTTAAATATGGTGACACAGATTGCATATACAGGCCATCCTGACGCCCACCAAAGTCAACAAACCGAACCTCACTTGGCCGGGCAGCGTTTCTCGCTTGCCCTTCCCATGGATTCCCTGCCTTCCGTGACTTCCTTCGCGAAGCTCGCGTAGTAGTGAGCCGTGGCCTGGCCGCCAAGTCGGATGCGGGGGGGAGATGATGAGGCCCGAACCGGGCACAGGGGCGCCACTTGCATGGATGTGGACTTGTTGTGTCAGGGAAGCCCCCCCCCACAACAAAAAAAGGATGCTCTCCACTTGGATATATTTTCAAAACAACCCAAAAATGTAAGCTCAAGAAAAGGCATGCCCTGTGTCCCCTTTAAACACCACCTCATCAAAAGGAAGCTCATTCCAGCCTGACCCAACAGTGACGCGTACATTACATAGAGCTTGCGTAAATCGTGAGTTGAGTGAGTGCGAGTGAGAATTGTTGAGAGGCAGTGAATGCAAGTTGAGCGAGTGAGAGTGAATATGTGTATGTCAGTGAGGGGAGAGAGTGTAATGAGTGTAAGTTGAGTGAGAAAGAGTAAGTATGTAACGCACCAGGCGTGCGCCCAGCCAGGTGCCTGCCACACCTGGCGGCATTAGCATGTGCAAAGTCGACCGCTCCAAAGCAACCAGTTTAAGGTACGCAGCCAGCCGACCAGTCCAAGCATGACAAGTCAAAAGTACAGTCTGTTACGAAATCCATCCCCAGCGCCCAAAGTGCGGCGCTTGCCACGAAACGAGCCCGCCGCCCGCAGCCGACCGCTCCGAACGAACCAGTCTAAAGCGCTGCGCCCTGTCGCGCAATCGAGCCCCAGTGAGTGTAAGTTGAGTGAGCGACAGCAAACATGTACAAGTGAAGTGAGCAAGAGTAAAAGTTTCCGAAAGTCAGTGAGCAGAAGTTGAGCGAGTGAAAGCAGACATGTGAAAGGTGCGTAGAGTGAGCGAGAGTGAGCGTTGGTCGGTGAGTGTAAGTTGAGTGCGTAAGACCAAGTATGTGTAAGTTGCGTGAGTGAGAGTGAGAGTGATAGTGGTTGTAAGCTAGCGAGATTGAGTCCAGTGAGCGAGTAAGTATGTGTCAGTGGATGAGAGTGAAAGTGGTTGAAAGTCAGTGAGCGCAAGCTGAGTGTGTGTGAGTAAGTGTGAGAGGGGGTGAAGAGGAGGCGGAGGAGTAGGAGCGCGCGGCGACCACGACGACATTAACAGTAAGAACTACATTCAAAGATGTGGGGAACAAGCACCCAACAAAAGATCTCAGCTACATGAGTGCCGTTCAGGCTCTCTGGCATGCAAGCCAAACAACATATTCGGTTACCCAGAAGCACTGCTTGGGTTTTTGTGGGACAATTATCGAGTCTCCCACTCCCAAACCAAAGACGATCGAGTCCGTGGAAAGCTTGGATTCATGAATGATCCGTCTTTGACACAGAACCGTCCGATGTGATCAGCTTGCATTCGCCAATAAATTACAACTGGTACATCAAGTCATGCCACTGCCAGGCCTGCTGAAATTTCTTGCTTTGGTCTTACTCATCTCACTGAGATCTCACTTGAACAAGCACTGCCTCACCCATTGAGTCCATTCACCTGTGTGGTAACCAAGAGAACACTCTCTTGGAAAACTAAAGGCAAGTGGCTGCTTGTCCACTCAGCCAAAGAACCAGCGCCTCAATGGCTTTCTTCTTACCCCCCCCCCAACCCGGCAACTTGCGAAACTCGGCCTTCATCTTGGGCTGCTCGGTCTCCTCCTCCTCTTCGGAGCCGTAGCCGCCCAAATGGCCGCCTCTTTGCTGCGGGTGCGCGCGACAGATGCGCCCAAAGGGCGCCGAGTCAATTGGCAAATTCAATGCAACCGTTTCCAAGTACGCATTTCCAAGCACAAAATTCCAAGCACAAATTTCCAAGCATAAATATCAATTGGAAGCGCACTTGATGTGTGGGCTACAGCAATTTCAATTGTTCAAATGCCCGCCAACGTTCCAGATCATCAATTAAGACTTACAAAGTCATTCGCATCTCTGCCCTCAACGGTCAAGGGGGGAATAAGCCTCCTTAAGGCAAAGTGATGCCAAATTAGGCCGTATTTACCGGTTAGGGTTGGGGAGGTCTTTGGCAGGTTGTTTGGCAGGGTCCTGGATCCTTCACATCTCCCACTGCGATTGACTTCGGGACCCTAGGATGCCCATGATCAGCACAACTGCTTGACATGAACAAGCAAACAGTTTCACAAAAGCGTCGGAAGTACAAAAGGGCTGTTGAAAGATTAGCCCAGATATCTACTCTGAGTCAGGTTGCAATTGTGTCGCAGCCAAACGGAATCTTCTATCCTCCAAGCATGTCAAAAACCAGCACTCTTCCCAATGAAAAGGCAAGCCATCTCCTGCGAGCATCTCCCCAACCCCTGCTGCTCATTAGCAAACGTATGACACCACAAGCAAACGTATAACCTTTGCTCTGAGGTCCTACGTGCCCATCGCTAGGGCCCAGGTCTCACACGCTCTGTTCACGTACAGGCTCTGAAGGCATGAAAGGTGCTTTTTGAGGGTACCTTTTCTGTGTGGTTTTGAAGGGACGTCAAAGAGCAGCACCACAATGCTTGCGTTCTCCCTATTTTGATAGATACACCCTACACAACTCCGCCTCAATCCGCCAGCCCATGCGTGCGGCTTACGCAAGCTGCGGCTCCGGGCACACGCTGTAGGGGCGCACGATCTGGCCGGAGGGTTCCTGGCGATAGAGCTGCATCTTAGTTCACCTTCCATGGTTTGGTGGTTTGGTGGGCTGGATGTGAGTTGGGACCATCGAAATCCGAAAACCAATTCAAACCAATTGAGGGGTGCCTGAGTTGCAAGACCATGTCCTGGCGGAAGACTTGGTTCAAAATTGACAAGACACAACAAGAGTATGAGACTCACAATCAAAAACCTGGCGCTCTGGGTCAAACGGAAAGATTCCAAAGATAGGATAGACATCCGCACATATGGTCATGGAGTCACGGCTGTCCCCTCACTGTCTCCCCGAGGGTTTTTGGGGGGCTCTCGAATGCGCTGGCTCCTGACCGGCTTCAACCCAGAATTGGCTGCGGAAGGCGAAGGGCCTTCACTGGTGGGGGAATCGCCTTTCGGGGGTGGTCCAATGCTATGCTTGATACGTGTCAGCCACAGTCCATATTCATTCGCCCATGCTCCCGGGGGCCGGCCTCGTGAGAAACGTCTGCAGATGATGCAGATCCCACCACAGCCTTCGTTTCCTCAGTGACGTTCACGGATGAAACAATGGCTTGCAAACGCACCCAACTGCCGGGTGCATCAAAGTGGTCGGATGTGTGCTTTCTTGGCCGGGGCGATGGGGGGAGGTTCACTTACTGTTGGTGGTTGTTTCTCTTGCGACCACCTTTAAAAGGGTAACTGATGTTGAGGATGTCGCGAAGGGGTCCAAAAAGGGTCCTGCTATCTGAACTAGCCCCGAACTGCTGTTTCTCGCTCTGACGCGAAACTTAATCGATCCAGAGGAAATTGGTCTTCCCAGGACCTGCCACCATCGCCCTGCTAGTGGAAGGCGTTCGGCTTATGCCAGGGCACCCAATAGGCTTCAAACCAGTTTGTCAATATGGGGCTATCTTGAATTAGAGGATGTGTCCCTGTCAGTTCTCTTGAAATGTAAATAGAGTACCCTGCAAAAAAAAGACGTAGCCATGAAGCCCGCTGAGTTCAGGCCTTATCCACCCACAAACAAGATCCAACTATTGCTCAAGTCAAAGAAAATTATTCCCCGCACATTGCAAGTCACTGGTCCCATGAATAAATTCGGAAGCGGTCGCTTCCTCACCAAGTTGAGGAAGCAACGCAAGCCCCGAGAAGCGAGCCTGTGCTGAAACGTGGCCGCATGCCAAGTTACAATCATCCAAATGAGTCATAGCCTGGTATCACAAATCCAAAACCATGCGAAGCTCAAGGCAGACCTCCGCACCTGTGTGCCGGGAGTGAGCTACTACCGACCTGATTTACCCGGGCTTTGGCAGTTGACAAGGCCAGACCCAGGGGTTGATGCCCCGAAGCAAGGGAACAAATTGGAACCCTGAAAGTTCACCCATGGTTTGTGGTTGGGGAATTTGTTACTCTCCAAATTGACATGGAACCACAAAATCGAAAGCAGGAGATTCGTCTAGAGTCTACAATGGATGAGTGTTGCGGGTGCCGATGTTGATCTGCTAAGCATCTCAAGAATCAGCCCTACCTACCCTCAAACGTCGACGTATCCATAGTTTGTGGTTGCTTAATATCTGGATATGTGTCAAAACACGTGGACACTCTGAACCAAACCCTGGTTGCAACCAACCAAATTGAGAGCGAGACTCAACCAAAGTGTTCTAATTAGGGTTTCCAATTGGCTTCCAAGGGTGAAACCATCCCCAAACAGGTACCAGCTGCACAAAAGGACAGGCAAGGACAAGTAAGGAACACGCGCACACACACACACACCACACACACACACACACCAAAAAACAACAAAATCTCAGGAATCAAGCCCCGCAAAGCTTGGGCTCGGGCCATGTCTGTAATCTTCTTCGACCGCGTCCGCTCCACGGACCTCCAGTGGAGCGATGGAGCGTGACCAGGGGGGTACCCTTGCGTGCCATTTTGGAGGTTTGGGCGTCTTTCTCGGGACAGCCATTTTGGGGGTTGAAGTGAAACCAAAGGGACCAATCTTAGTTCCCATGTTTAAACAAACCCTGGTCGGTTCTCCAGTGTCAAATTTTGAGGGTATTCTTCAAAGGAGTCACCAAAGAGGTGATGGTAAGTGTGAAGAAAGCGCTTGCCCACAGCTTGGAAGAAGGAAACAACAACTGGTTTATCTACCCGTCTCCAACTGCTCCGTGCCTCGCACGAAAAAAGGCCCACGCCGGAGAAGCCGCGCGGGTCGGGCAGACGAACTGGGCTCACAGACAGATCCTAGATGGCCTTTCTGGACCTGAGGCCCGCACTGGCCGTCCAGGAAAGGAGGCCTCGGCCGTCTCGCCAAGGTCCATTTTGTGGCACCATAGACTTTACCCAGCTTCCCTTTTTGCGGACCTCTCCTGGGTTTCAGAGTGAAAAAAATGGAACCCAGCTCGCCAGTGCTCCAAGCTGTCGGAGACAGCACCCGCAAGTGAAAGTGATCTCGTGCGCCGGGGCGAAGTTTGTAAAAGCCAATGCCAAAATGCCATGGTGGGCATGCGGAACAAGCATGCTACGCAAGAAGCAAACCCACCCCTAACTTTGAGAAACGCAGGCACTCCCCGTCCAGACATTATTTCTATTGTACCTACAAAGAGAACATGTATAGGACGAAGCCTCTTTACTGGGAGCAAGTCCCTCTCTCCATACCTAAGAAATCGTTTCCTCAGTTGCTACAGCTGGCGCAGGCTTCACGCAAATGCGGAGCAACGAACAGAACTACGTTGTTTCCACCAAGGACATGGGATATTGGCATTGGGTGGTCCCCTGCTGATTTCGGTGGGAGTTCGGGTGGTGGCCCTACTCCTGGCGAAAGAGCTGACTCGCAATGAGTTCCTCATATTTCGTCAGTGACTCAGATCTTCCTGCAGCCCACCGTCCATGAAAGTAAAGATGTGAAAGCTTCCCGACATCACTCTCAGAAAATTGTTTCCCTTTGAACCAGCGATATTAGTGTAAATCTGAGGATGTCGCTTTCATCGACTCCGGCAGATCCGAGGCTGGCACAAATTCCCATCACGGGTGAGGAGGTAGCGGCCTCGACATTAGCAAGCTGGCTTCTTCTTGCCTATCCGCTCACCTTCGTTCTCCCTGCTTGTTTCAGTCTAACATGTTATATGATCTACTCACCGAAATATGTGAGTCTTCGTGTGGTTCTATCAAGTGATGCTTCATGAATTGAGCAGCTGTGTCAAGACATGCGAAGCCTTAAAAAATGCGCAGCATACGCACCGTGGTATGGCACCACCCCTTGCCTTAATGCAGCCCATGTAGCACGCCACTGGTACCAGCACGCAGTCAGCAAAGCAACGCCCCTCTTGCTCAAATCCTGCCCTAAGAGATATTGCCTGATATCGCCGCAAAAGCGAACTATGTGGGAAGTGGGCAAAAATACGGGACCCTTCTGGACCCCCCTTTTTTCAGACTTCCGAGATCCTGACGCACTGCATCGCTGTAGTGCAAGCAGTTCCAGTTGCCCATGCGAACATGCTCACCGGAGAGGGCGAAGGTCTGGCACCGGAAAGGGGTTGCGCATCCAGCTTGAGCTGTCTAAATGTGGGGGACATATCCCCAGATCTTTCAGATCATGCTGGATTCATTACGCGGCAAGAATCATGTCCAACAACAAGCATGTTTACCGCAGAGGGACCCTGGAAGACCAGTTTCCTTTAAGAGGGACCCTCCTTCAGGCACAATTCTTTGTCTTCGGGAGCAGCCCGCCCATGCTGGCTCATGCTCTTTGCTTGCCTTGGTTACTTCAAAGCAGCCGTTCAATAACACACCCAACTCTGAAACGGGAGACAATTCAAAGCCATGTCCTGCACTTCTGCGTTCAGGTGTGCCATCTCCAGTCGGACAGCAGCAACACTTAGGCTTATGTTTGCGCCATGCTGAGGTGACGCGAAAAGTGGCGTGCCCATGCCAAATTCGATATGCCTCTCGTCTTGTCATGCGTGCGACACAGGCACCGTGGCTACCCCCAGCCCTCAATTGCTAGGTGCCCGGACCCCATTGACCAGAAAATGGAAGAAGTACGTGCCGCTGGACAGGCCGGAGGACGACACAGGGAGGGTCCACGCTGCCTTGGCAGAAAAAAATAATGGTTGTTTTGCTTCAGGCTGTGTCTTCCAGACTTCACGCTTTTCAGCTCTTCCAAAATGTCAAACATGCAACTGGAAATGGAATGTGAACCGCTTGCAACTTGCTCACCTAGGACTGGCAGTGGGCAACCAAGAAGATTGCTAAAGATTGTGGCTTGCTCATGCGTGCAAGATATCCAAGCGGCATGTGCATGCTTCTGCACGTTGGATCAACATCCTACCACTCTGTAGCTGCAGCTCAACACACGTCGTTTTCTGACCCAGGTGCTCTGTCGAACGGATGAAGTTAGGGCTTCCTGTTGACTCAGGCGTGCCTTTTTTCAGGGTCTTTTTGGGTTAAGCCCTACAGGGCAAAAGGCCTGGAACTCGCATACATGGCACGTCAAAAGTTGGGCCTCTGGACTGAGCGACGGTTGACTTGAGCCTGCCCGTAAGCCAAAACAAATTGACGTTTCGTTCTACATGGTTTTACGTACAAAGGTTCACATGAGCCTCAAGCCCATGAAACCGGTACCACTCGGAAACGGATGGGCGTGTACACGTGAGTCGTTCAACTGCTTCACGTTGAGCACCCCCTCATCCAAGGACCTTTCTGGAGGGGTGCAGGTATTTCTCAAATTGGTGGACCCCTTCTGGTTGGTTTTAAAGTGAAACCAAGCGGAAAGAACTCCCGTTTCAGGGCCTCCCTCTTCGAAAAATCCTCTGGACACTTCGCGCGGCTCCGTGCGGCCGGAGCGCCACCAAGTCCTGTGAGTCCCAGTTTGAAAGCGCCAGCCGGTGCGTCTCGTGGCCCTGGCCATCCGAAATGAGCTCCAGGCTCAAACAACTTGGTGCGAGAGATGCAGGGAATGAGTTGCATGGAGATTGACCCGTCTCTAAACCATCCAACTGGTGGTTTCCTTAAAGGGGACCGAAGTGAGCACCAGCAAGAAAAGGAACTGCCTTGAACGCTTAAAAGGGAAGGACCCCTGGTTGGCTTCGACCTGCACGAGTCAAACCATTTTGGTCCCAGGATGTAAATCAAACTCCGACCTCTGGTCAACACGCTGCTTCTCTTTGGTCAGCAACAAGCACCCATAGGACTCAGAGGCACACTCCCGGAAATTCACATGGGACCCGGAAAGGGAGTCCCCCAAAAGGAGCTCCCTCTACGATGGTTTGTTTCATGTTCAGCGGGGCCGAATATGTTCTTGAAGCCTTGGTTCCTGTCTTCAACCTCGCAGGGCCAATTGGCACCAATGGGTCTCGGTCACATTGGCTGCCAAAGAATGCACAAATCATTTATGTTCAAGGCCTGCAAAATATTGGTATTTGCGTCAAGGGAACAGTCTAGCCAAGTAATTAATCGCACATGGGTTTGTCTCCAAATGAAAGGCGGCGTCCCTTACAAACAACCCCAACAAACGTCGGGCACCCTCGAGAAAACCCGCTATACAACAACCAGGTGGCGTTGGCCCGAGATTGGTCATCGAGCATGTTCGCATGGTGCCAGGCATGTGTCGGTGTCCAAATAGGGGGGCCGTGACCCAACATGATCCTGTTGGCTTCCCCTTGAAACCAGTCCACAAATGTTTAATCCCTACACCTACAAATTGAGAGGGAACACCAAAAAGAGGGTCTACTCCCAAAAGAATTTCCTCTGCAAATGGATGTCTTCTTGTTCGAGTTCCATATTCACCTGCGAAAGAGCACCCCCCCAATTGCACCAAGAGCATCAGGACTCCCTTCGCCTTAAAGATCACCTCGACCTTGATCTTCTCTGCGTCCTGCTCGTCGAGGCCCTTCAGCTTGAAGCTCACACATTGCCTCAAGCACTGCACCATGAGCCCGCCTGAAGCACTGCACCAACAACACGACTAGCTATGGATATTTGTGTAAACTTCCCCCTCAGCCCACCAGCAACACTGCAACACTGGCAAGCTTCAAAAGAGGGAACTCTCTGGTGCTTCTAGAGGAGGCTCGGCGCTGCGCGCGGAAAACGTGCGAACCCCGCAGAGCGGAAAAAAACAACCAAATGTGCGGAAAAACCAAGCACAGTCTCTGCGGAAAAAGCGGACCCCTCCTGAAAGGGGGCCGTGATGAAGGTTGTCTTGGGGATCCGCTTTTCGAGCTGGAATCCGGCATTCCAGCTCGAAAAGCGGATCCCCGGCCCTCCTGAAAAGGGGGCCGTGATGAAGGTTGTCTTGGGGATCCGCTTTTCGAGCTGGAATCCGGCATTCCAGCTCGAAAAGCGGATCCCCGGCCAATCCCTCCTGAAAGGGGGCCGTGATGAAGGTTGTCTTGGGGATCCGCTTTTCGAGCTGGAATCCGCAGCATTCCCCGGCCAATCCCTCCTGAAAGGGGGCCGTGATGAAGGTTGTCTTGGGGATCCGCTTTTCGAGCTGGAATCCGGCATTCCAGCTCGAAAAGCGGATCCCCGGCCAATCCCTCCTGAAAGGGGGCCGTGATGAAGGTTGTCTTGGGGATCCGCTTTTCGAGCTGGAATCCGGCATTCCAGCTCGAAAAGCGGATCCCCAGCCAATCCCCGGCCAATCCCTCCTGAAAGGGGGCCGTGATGAAGGTTGTCTTGGGGATCCGCTTTTCGAGCTGGAATCCGGCATTCCAGCTCGAAAAGCGGATCCCCGGCCAATCCCTCCTGAAAAGGGGGCCGTGATGAAGGTTGTCTTGGGGATCCGCTTTTCGAGCTGGAATCCGGCATTCCCAGCTCGAAAAGCGGATCCCCGGCCGGTCCCTCCAAAGGGGGCCGTGCTGAAGGTTGTCTTGGGGATCCGCTTTTCGAGCTGGAATCCGGCATTCCAGCTCGAAAAGCGGATCCCCAGCCAATCCCTCCTGAGAAGGGGGCCGTGATGAAGGTTGTCTTGGGGATCCGCTTTTCGAGCTGGAATCCGGCATTCCAGCTCGAAAAGCGGATCCCCGGCCAATCCCTCCGGAAAGGGGGCCGTGATGAAGGTTGTCGTGGGGATCCGCTTTTCGAGCTGGAATCCGGCATTCCAGCTCGAAAAAGCGGACATCCCCGGCAATCCCGCCTGAAAGGGGGCCGAGATGAAGGTTGTTTGGGGATCCGTTTTCGAGCAGGATATCGGGATTTCCAGCTGAAAAGCGGAATCCCCGGCCATCCTCTCCTGAAAAGGGGGCCGTGATGAAGGTTTTTTTTGTCTTGGGGATCCGCTTTTTCGAGATGGGAATCCGGACATTCCGGCTCGAAAAGCGGATCCCCGGCCAATCCCTCCTGAAAGGGGGCCGTGATGAAGGTTGTCTTGGGGATCCGCTTTTCGAGCTGGAATCCGGCAGTCCAGCT